CTGAACAATATATATCAGTCTTAATATTCAGTTTATTCATTTATTCATATATTTACAATACATAGACTTAATATTCAGTTTATTCATTTATCCTTATATTTACAATACATAGCCTTAATATTCAGTTTATTCATTAATCTATATATTTACAATACATAGCCTTAATATTTAGTTTATTCATTTATATATATATACTAGCCTTAGAGGGCGCTTCGCGCCCATCTAAATTAATTGTGAACATATGCAGTTCTCTTTGTGTACATCGTAAAACAAAATTTAATGAAGATCGAATTTTGATGGAGACAAATATTTACAATACTAGCCTTAATATTTAGTTTATTCATTAATCCATACATCTAGATATTTCATTTATCCTTTTGTTATTCATTTATTCATTACCTAGTTCTCCTTTTAAAGCCTTTTCAACAAGATAAGAGAAGTTTTTCTTGATCAGCACATCATTCTCACTGCATTATTATTATTATTATGATTATCATTATTATTATTATTATTATTATTATTATTATTATTATTATCTATATAATAAAGCAAGACATTCTTATATAATTTATATGTTGCATGCGTATAGCCGTTATTATTATTATTATTATTATTATCATTATCAATATTACTAAGGTTATTTTTTTTAAAAAAAAATATACAAACCTTGATTTTCCAAACCAAATCTCCATAGCATCCTGGAGAGAGGCAGGAAAATAATATTCTAAAACCTTGTAAAAAAACAGGTAAAAAATCTTAAATCTTTTTATGGAAATTTCATACTAAATTTAAATTGAAACCCCATCTTTGCAAATGTAAAAATTTTAAAAAGTGATAGTTCAAAAAACGTTTAAAAAATTATTTCATCTCTTTTAACAAAGCTTGATTTAAAATTGTTTTTGACCTGTTCAATAATATTTTGGGCTGCCAGAATTATTTTAACTGAAAAGGCTAAGATTCACTGCAAACTTAGGTTCACGGTACGTGCCGACTTTTAAGCAGAAAAAGCAAGCTGTAAAGTGTACACCATTACAGTATACACATAGACTACATCAGGCAAAACTAAACAGTAAACCATTAATGAAACATCCCCTTTTAAAGTTTTTGTGAAATTTATGTGGATGGGGCACTAAGCTCATCTAATTTAAGTTCTTATGATTTTCGGTGGGCTGTTAGGGCTGTTAGCTAATATAAAAAAGTCCAAAAATAAATAACCCAAATATTTATTGAGTATTGACTCTAAGTTTACCTCTCTAGCCTCGGGTCTAATTCTGATTCTCATTTTATCCAGTAAACTCCGGTTCTCAACCAACATTTCCCGAAGAGATTTTACTCCGGTTCTACTGTTCAATCCAGCATCCTAAACCACAATGGGTGAAAGGTTTATAAGTTTTTCTTTCCTCAGGAAATTTAAAATGTCTTAATTCACAAATTTTTATTATTTTAAAATGTATTATTTTACAGCAATGTTTAAAACCTAACCTACATAAAAAAATTCGTTTATTTCATTTAACCTAATAATATTGAAATTTAAGCAAATCCTTATTGCTACCAGAAAGTAACATAGAAGTAACAAAAACTCTCAAGTCATTTGTACATTTGATAATTTTCTGAGTTTAACCTAACTATTGTTTTCTGGGATGTGAAAAGATTATTTACATACAGTCGTCGTATATATCAATATAATGAAGACGAATCTAAATATTTCAAACAGCAGAGACGCATAAACATAAGAAAGAATAAGAAGTTGTCAATTAACCGCTTCTCTTTGTTTACTTGTAAACTTGTAATTTGAAAAACGCTTGTCTGAGATCAAAGCACTATTACTAAATAGTCGTTTTCATTGTATTGTATAGTCGTCCACTTTATTTATCGCACAAAAACTCTAACCTTTTTCATCACAACCATTTCAGTGTTACCTGCATAACTTCATAGAGTAGAAGAGCATTCTCAAATGTGTTCGTTCCACCTTCGGGGATTTTCAGCCCGAACTTGTTGTATTCCTCCTGAACATTATATTTCTATTTATATAAAGTAGTAATCTCTGTTGTATTCCTCCTGAACAATATATATCTATTTATATAAAGTAGTAATCTCTGTTATATTCCTCCTGAACAATATATATCTATTTATATAAAGTAGTAATCTCTGTTGTATTCCTCCTGAACAATATATATCTTTTTATATAAAGTAGTAATCTCTGTTATATGCCTCCTGAACAATATATATCTATTTATATAGAGTAGAAATATCTGTTGTATTCCTCCTGAACAATATATATCTATTTATATAAAGTAGTAATCTCTGTTGTATTCCTCCTGAACAATATATATCTATTTATATAAAGTAATAATCTCTGTTGTATTCCTCCTGAACAATATGTATCTATTTATATAAAGTTGTAATCTCTGTTGTATTCCTCCTGAACAATATATATCTATTTATATAAAGTAGTAATCTCTGTTGTATTCCTCCTGAACAATATATTTCTTTTTATATAAAGTAGTAATCTCTGTTGTATTCCTCATGAACAATATATATCTATTTATATAAAGTAGTAATATCTGTTGTATTCCTCCTGAGCAATATATTTCTATTTATATAAAGTAGTAATCTCTGTTGTATTCCTCCTGAACAATATATATCTATTTATATAAAGTTGTAATCTCTGTTGTATTCCTCCTGAACAATATATTTCTTTTTATATAAAGTAGTAATCTCTGTTATATTCCTCCTGAACAATATATATCTATTTATATAGAGTAGAAATATCTGTTGTATTCCTCCTGAACAATATATATCTATTTATAAAAAAGTAGTAGTGTCATGGCTTGGTTTAAAAGTACTTAATTAGTGGAGTAAGTTGACTTTCATTGAAAAATCTTAGTTTTCTGGCATTTTCAAGCTAGTTTTACGTAACAATGTGAGGTATGTATTTATGACAGACTTTTGTGACATACACACTGATATACCTTCCTCAATGAGTGTTATAATTATGGGTTTCATCATAAGCGCGTCCTTTCTTTTGGAAAAGAGAATATTGCTTATATGAGAAATCAAAGAAGGCATTCTTTGTTAACGAATTTATGATTGTTCAAATTTCTAAAAGATTTGGTTATAACTGCGTTCTCTTAACAATGTGTTCTTTGACGGGATATTCCGTTCGTTATTTAGAAAAGATATCGTTACAAAATAACAGTGCTTAGACCTATCTTGAACTCAAGTCTAATGTTGTTAATTTTTAATGAACGTTTTAAGATTTTAAAACTGTATTCTGTTAAAGTTTACTTAAATTAAACTTTTCAATATTTTATCCTAATGGAAAACGATCCAAAGCGATCGTTATAACTCGTTCGTTTTTGGATCATTTTTTTCTTTTAGAGTCAAAATTTGGCATGGTGCGTAAGAAAAGCAAATGTTTACAATAAACAGTTTTAAAAACATTTGCTTTCCTTACACCAAATTTTGACCCCAAAAGAAAATACAGCGGCGAAAAACGAACTAACTTAATGTTTTATCACTTTCAGTCAATAACACTAAAAGAAAACTGACCATTCTGCGAATCAGGAGTCACCGGAGGTTATTTTGTAGGGCTCATGGTTACTCTGCACCCCCTCCCTCACTAACCTTAAACTGCTTGTCATTCTCCTGAAGTTGTCCAAGGAAGTAATCAATAAACTCCTTTGTAGAGAGCTTCCCGTCCTTGTTGACATCAATCTCGTCGAACTTCTTCTTAACAGACTCATAACTTTCCGGCAGATTCAACTTATTCACTGAAGTTATATTTGAATGGAACTAACTCTAATTTTATAATTCTTATATCTTTGCGAACTGATGGTGTAAACCTTCCATATTACAAACTGTCCGTTTGATTTAACAGACCTCATAAATCGAAATATCTAAGATCTACAAACATTATTTTGCAAAGATAAATGGATTAGAAAATTGGAATTTGTGATAAGTCTTTATTATGCTGTCAATGTATTGTTTAACAAAACCGTAAATTTATTAATGTATATTATGGGCAAACATTGCTGAAAGAGTTGAGAACTAAACTACAATAAAGACATCTTTAAAAGAAAAACTTCGGCAATAACTAAATCCTTCAAAAAATTATGAATTTCAGTTTGGGCCAACTCTTCTTCATCATTTTAAGCTTTTGTCCCTTAGGAGTTCCCTCAGCTTTTTCAAGATTTATTTTTTTAAGAATTTACCTTTCTATTGGATGGATATATTTTGATGTTTGGTTATGATTGGCAAAGAAAAAACTGTATAAAAAGTGAGAAACTATCGATATTTTAGGAGAACAAAACAAAATACACGCAAATACTGATGATAAAAAGGAAATCAATGGAATCTTTATTTAGAAAGCACTTGAACGTTTCAATAGCTTTATAGATACAAATGAAGATTACGTTAATAACATTTAAATATCAGTATTTCCATTAAACCTGCTAGATTGTAGAATTCTGCAATACTCATTTGTCTATTCATATCTCTATCAGTAGCTCTGTATATCTTCAACAGTAGTTCTCTTCGTTTCTCATACTTCTCTTCTAAACAGTCAATTTCATTAATTTTGTAAATAACTTTTTTATGAAATAATTCTGTAAGAAACATTGTTGTTTTTAAAACTATAAGGGAATGTTATTTAAATTGTACTTTCTAATTCAGTTAAAAACAATGATTTACCATTAAAAAAACATATCTCATAACACCTCAATTGCTTAGATTGAACTCACTAGAACTATAAAAGGGGATGGTTTATTTGAGTCTCGTTTTGTCATTACGGAAATATTGGATTGAAACAAAAATTTGACTGATCTATCTAAAGCAAAGGATTTGAGTTTTTGCCACAAACTCTGAATTTTATAATCCCTATATCTTTGGAACCCAATGTCGTAAATCTTTGATATTTCAAACTTATATTATTTGATCTAACATAATTCATAGTTTGAAATATCTAAGGTCTACGACATTGGAATCCAAAGATATAACGTTTAGAAAAGCAGAGTTTGTGGCAAAGACTCTATTCCTTTTTTGATTAATATTAATATTTTGTTCTGCTTATCCTCCTGAATGGGACACAACTTTGAAGACGTAATTCAAACGAATCCCATTTTAAGAGAGGCAGTTACCTGTAAACCAACAATAAGGAAAATATTGTTATTATTCTATGATAAATACGCACGTCATTTTAACAAAGAAATCAGTTTTCAAAGAGAAAAAAAAGAAATTTCATTTATTCCTGAATAGGCAAAAGGTTACAGGTCGCAGCTGTTAATTGGACAAGCAACTTTATAAATAAAAGGGTCACTCAAAATTACGTCCAAAGTCTCTTTAAGTTGTTTAAACCTATAGAAAATTTGTATTTAAATAAATTGAAAACCTACCAAGTACCACTGCAGAGTCCTTCACTGAATCAGCGGCCTTGGAGAGTTTTTCAAGCTTTAAACATGCTGCTTCAAGATCAAACATATGCTTATCCGTCTCACCAGGTGGTAATATCATCCTAAAAGTAAACATGCTGCTTCAAGATCAAACATATGCTTATCCGTCTCACCAGGTGGTAATATCATCCTTAAAGGGACTGTCGACGTAATTTCAAGTGACATTCCTTTTATATAGTTTATATCCTTTAAATCTTTTGCTAATAAACAATAAGGAAGATATAGTCTTTTTTTGATTTGGAAAATTTAAAATATCCTTCTTTGCCAATTGAACATAATCAATTTTTATAGAAAAACAAGTTTCTTAGTAATTTTTTCCTCTGACAAAGGTTTAAAGTGTACAGCTAGATGTGTACAGCTAGTTGTGTACAGCTAGATGTGTACAGCTAGATGTGTACAGCTAGTTGTGTACAGCTAGTTGTGTACAGCTAGATGTGTACAGCTAGTTGTGTACAGCTAGTTGTGAATCGGGCGTTCTCATTCTTAAATTGAGTCACTTGAAACTACGCCTCTAACACTAAATGCACTATGATAAATAAAATAATTTGGTTCAAACCAAATATTTTAAGATTTAAAGTACAAAAACCCCTTTTTACCACAGATCAGGTAGTCAGAGATGGATCATTGACGCGGACCGCCCTGCAGGAGATTATCTAAACAGTCCAGTGGTTCCTGGGAGGAAGCTTGGCTAGAACTTAGTAAGAGTAATTATTAAAATACAAATATTTTCGTTCGCCCATAAATTACATAAACGTTGTCGGCACGTATAAACTTGTCAGACGTATGGACGCGCCAACCCTGCATGTATATCTAACTGAACCTGATCTGTGCGTTTAACTCACTAAATGTAAATTTTTGTTATTCGCTATTTATACTTATTTGTTGGGCTATGTATTTTGAATATTTAAGTATATAAGGAATTTTACGGTGTTAAACTGAAAATATTCCAGTACAGCCAGCTGTACAGGCGCTTATACAGGATTTAAGCCATGGGAGGGCAAGTTATCGAGCGAAGCGAGACATTTTTTCTCTCATCCCCTTAATGGCGATTTTTGCCCCCCCCCTGGCCTTAAAAATGCGATTATTTTATATTAAGTCTACAACATGTCCCCTATGTAGCCCATTGTAGTCCCGATTCAAGTTCTTTATATTATAATGTTTTCCTTTGTATAGTTCTGTAAAATTACTCTCTGAAGTCCTGAGTATTCTCCTGAAGACTATCATTAGTTCTACGTCCTCTTTTTTTCTCTCCAACCGCTCCTCTCCTAATGTTATCTGCCCTTGGCCTTAATGGGGGTTGCTAGAAGACATGCCAAACCCTTGCATTATAGCTATAATAGCTATACTTGTTTATAACGTTGGGGCGGGGGCGACTTTAGATGAAAGTGAAATACTAAAGTAAATAAAAAAATTAAAAATGGCGGGAAGCGGCAAGAAAATTTTCAGCTTCTTGTTAAGGAGGCCCCTTTGCCGATGGGTGCAATTGATCATTTTTTACCTACTACACCTGAGTTTAACCTTTGTCCATGAATCCCGGAGGGGGGTGGGTAAGAGGACTATTGCCCCCCCTGTATATGTGCCTGCATCTGTAGTTAGTTTTACGTGCTGTGCAATCGTAAATCAAGCCAATCAGGAGAGGCCCAAGTTCGAATAAAACTTTGGTCTTTGAAATTAAAAAACCTTATTTTATAAAATTTTATAACATAGTCTTGAAAGAAATATTCTTTTTGTTGCGCAAAAACGAAACGATATCTTTTAAAAGTATAAAGTATTGAATATTAAAACTTGAATTAAGTACATAGCACACCAACCTTAAGGACTCAGCAGTAGAGTACAAATATTCTAAATTAGTCCCACTTGCACCAACAGCCTAGATAATAGATATATACAATGAGAACCAGAAATCTTTGAAATTGGAAGACGACTTTTAGACACAAATCAGTCCTATGAACATGATACATAGTTATTGTGTAGTGTAAACAGACCCGATTGACTTAATAAGTGATTAATAATATTCTTGTTAAGCTATTTGCACTGTAAAAACATCAAATTCACGTATGTACAATGTCGTCTTCCAATCTTAAAGTTTTCTGGTTCTCACTGAACTTTATAGTTATAAATAGCTTCTATTCAGCAGAAAAAAATATAACCTTTTTCTAAATCCTCTTAAACTCAATTGGAAAAATAACATTTAGTTAAAAGTTGTATTCTCACAAGTTCACTTGATTAAGGATGAACTATAGGAATACTTTACACATTTTCAGTGTTTTCCCTCTATAATGATTTATTTCATGCCTAAGTGTTCCCAATAAACATTAATAAACCTAGAACTTTCTCACGATTAAAAAAATGTGAATAGCCTACACATCATTTTTCTCCCTTCCCCACCCTTTTCCATCCTTTTCTATCCTTTTCCAACCATATCTACCCATCTCACACTTCGCAACCCTTCTCAACCGTTCTCACCCGTTCTTCACTTCAACCCTTCTCCACACTTTCAAGTCCTTTTCCATCCTTTTTCACCCTACTCTATTGTTTGTCAACCCTTCTTTACTCTTATTCTTCTCCAACCTTCCCCACCCTCGTTTTTATGGGGTGCCCAGAATATTTTCAAATGGAAGAGTGAATTTGTTGTACCTGAACAATATGCTGCGCTAGTTCGTCAATGGTTCCAGGCATATAGTTAGGACTATTTTTATCTCCCAGGAAGAGAGTCACAATAATCTATGCAACAAAAAAATTGGATAAATTATTTTTGTTTGTAAGATTTAGATTTGTTCTGCATCATATAAAGAAGGTATTAGACTCTTTATATTTTAACTGAGATAAAACTATTGTATTGCATTGACTGGAATTATGTGGACCCTTGCATGCATTAATTTTTAAACTAACCTTCTCTGGAACATTATTAATGTTAGGATCGAATGGAACAAACTCTGTGTCCTCTACTCCATATCCTCCTCTCTCCCTAGAGGGTTAAAAACAAAAAATTAGAGAGATTCAAACAAACTTTTCATTTGTGTACTTTTTTGCATTTCACGATCTTTCCTTTTTGAACGGAATTTTTTTCCTTTTTAAATATATGTCAACATCGTCTTTTTATGAATGAAGGGATTCTTAACGTAAATTCGTGTGATATTTAAACAGTTTCTTGTCAGAATCACAATTTGATAACCTTTTAAACCTCTGTAGGAGAAAAAATCTGATATTTTTTATATTCAAGGTAGGAATTTGACAGAATTCAGCTTCTATTAAGAAAGAGAAACGACCATGTATGATGTCTTCCTAATTGTTACAAAAATACAAGTTTTTAGTGTCCCGTTGTTAATCCGCGGAAATATTAAAATATGTACTTTTTAGAATTTTTATTAATTATTTTGGAATTTATCCTCCCTGTATCCAACCTTAGCCTCAAGAACCCTTTCCCAGTAATCCTAAAATATTACTGCAAAATTGATGATAATAATAATGATAATGATAATTATAATAATAATTATAATAATAATAATAATAATAATAATAATAATAATAATAATAATTATAATAATAATAATAATAATAATAATAATAATAATAGAACCTGAGATATTTCATAAGATACCCCCCATACTCTTTCTTTCATATTCTTAGACCTGTTGTAAAAAAAAACTTAATCTTATTACACGGAAATTAGACGCGCCGAACACCAGTCATGGAATAGTATGCTTAGCGTCATTGAGCTAATGAGAGCTGGTGTAACACACTCTCCACCCCACCCCATGCTTCCTCTCATAGTTCTCCTGGACTCCTCATAACATTTTTGGCAACCTAGCGTGAATATACTATTCCAGTCTCTAGACCATGGTGGGTGAAGATTTATAGAAAGTCACGCAAGGTTGTCCAAAATAAGTACGGATGCAACCCCTGATACCTCTGAAAGTCACTCATGGTGTACATCTGGATGAGGCGACTTCACACAGAGCGGCGGGCGGAGCTGGAACCAGGTCAATGAGTCTGCAGACGACATCCTGGAGCAACGCAGCATGACAGTGAATAAACTTGGTTTGCAAAATGGTTTTGTTTTCAAACTTAGTCTCGGCTTGGATGAACCAAACCTCTGGAGATTTGATCCAAAGGGTCGGAAGCTTCACCGAAACCTTCGTCAAAGGGACTACTGACGGAATCACGTCACTTCCCTCTTCTTCCGGGATCTCGTCAGTCGCTAATTAAAATAGCCGGATTTGAACTGAAACTGGCTCTCAAAATCTCCAGTTTGTGTCTGAAAAACGCAGGGACCCGGTTGAAACCGATTTTGGGTATGTTAGCAAGAGAGACAGCAACAAAATCACGTCGGGGTCACCAAAATGTAGTGATGCTAAATAACGAGAGTTTAAACAAACTGACTAACTTACAACATGGATCTAAAAAAAACTTTATTTTATATTTGGTATGGTTTGCTTGAACCGGAAACGGAAGACAACTTTCTAGCTCCTCCACAACCCAATCTTTCTTTTCTTTTGTCAACATGTTGCAAAAGAATTCAAGATTTTACAGATAAATGTCGTCGTCTTAGAAATAAAAAGTTTTGGATATTATTTAGGAAGGAAAGAAATGACAAAATTAAAGAAATAATAATGACAGGTATTCAATTAACAAAGAATATCTACATTGTACATTTCTCATTGAATATATAAACTAAAATGTCGTCTTCCTCATAAAATTTTTCAAACATAATGTCGTGTTCCTACTTGAAAATGGCGGCAGTTCTAGACTCCTGACCAGGTACTCCTCTATGTACCTCATCAGCCCACTCCATAGTTCGGGTATACCCCTCAACATACCTGCAGTTACATTATTATTAGATATAATATACCCCTCAACATACCTGCAGTTATTATTAATTTACCCCTCAAAATACCTGCAGTTATATTATTATTAGATATAATTTACCCCTTAACATACCGGCAGTTATTATTAATTTACCCCTCAACATACCTGGATTTTAAATCGATAAAATTATCATTATTATTACTATTTTTATCATTATTTTTATTCTTATTTTTATTATTATTATTTTATTTTATTATTACCCAATAATTTTTCTGATTGTAGGGAAATCAATTTTCCACATGAGGCTACCGTATCCAAATATCCAAACACCCATTTTTATTTCTTAAAAAACATTTTACCTTTAGAGAGTACGAATATTTTCTGCTATTTTTGCTGTTTTCTGTCGTTTTTTATACTTAGCTTTTTTCAAGTCTTATAACGTCATTTATTAAAGTCTCATATTTTGCAGGTACGTATCTTGAAGTTTTAAAAATTGAAGAAATTTATTTTTTTGTTGGTTAATTTTGAATATTCTAAAAATGTCGCTAAAAAGTTCAATGGATGTTATTAAATCTGCCCAATACCATATTCTGAATTATTAATGAACGTACCATCTCAAATCAATTTAAAATTTTTAGGTCTTACTTTGCTCAAAAGCCAGAAATATCCCAAAAATAATTCATAATTCATAAATGAATGGAGTCTTTGCCACAAACTCTGATTTTCTAATGCCAAATATTTGCAACTCAATGTCGTAGATCTTAAATATTTCAAACTATTAATTCTGTTATATGAAATAATCTAGGTTCGAAAAATTAAAAGTTTACAGGTTGTAAAAAAGAGGGATTGGCAAATTTGAGTTTGTGACAAAGACTCAATTCCTTTGCTCTAAATTTGGTTGTTTGTATAATACATTTACTTTGATTAATTCTACCTTTGGAATTTATATTTTTAAATATTTAATTTATTTTAACTATTATGCAATTACTTCTATAATAGTTTAGAATCAATGAAAGCATAAATTATCACAATTTATATTCATATGTCTAGAATTAATCCAGTTACAATCATAATCATGCAGCTATATATAAGCGTATAAAATATTTTTATACTGTAAACCTACTGGTATTTCTATTGATAAACATGACAAACTTTCTTTTTTCTTTTTACCCTTTACGTATACAATTTAACTTTGCTCTATGCTCTCTGATACATGTTTTCTCAATGTGTTATACAGTTCAACTTTGCTCTATGCTCTCTGATACACGTTTTCTTAATGTGTTATACAGTTCAACTTTGCTCTATGCTCTCTGATACACGTTTTCTCAATGTGTTATACAGTTTAACTTTGCTCTATGCTCTCTGATACACGTTTTCTCAATGTGTTATACAGTTTAATTTTATCTATGCTATACAGTTTAACTTTGCTCTATGCTATACAGTTCAACTTTGCTTTATTTCATACAGTTTAACTTTGCTCTATGTTATACAGTTTAACTTTGCTCTATGCTATACAGATTACTTTGCTCTATGTTATACAGTTTAACTCTGCTCTATGCTATACAGTTCAACTTTGCTTTATGCTATACAGTTTAACTTTGCTCTATGCTATACAGTTTAATTTTCTCTCTGCTACACAGTTTAACTTTGTTCTATGCTATACAGTTTAACTTTGCTTTATGCTATACAGTTTAACTTTGTTCTATGCTATATAGTTTAACTTTGCTCTATGCTATACAGTTTATCTTTTCTCTAAGCTATACAGTTTAACTTTTCTCTTTTCTATATACACTTTAATTATGTCTGAATGCCACACCATTTAACAGTATTTAAAGTATAGATGGTATACATGATAAGAATGCATTCGATTCTTATCAAACACCGCCCTTCCGAGCTCACAGAACAACAATTTGGCATAAGAACTTTATTTATGTTTAAAATGGAATTTTACCAAACAAAATATATGTCAATTACATAATATAATATCATTTGTACGATTTCATTTTACAATGACTTTGGTTTATACACTTTGATGATGCAAAATATTCGAAATATTAATTTTTTTAACCCTGCTAGCAACAACACATCTCTGTGACTCTCTCTCTCCTAGCCTGATACCAGCTGACCCAGCTAGCTGTTGCTATGGCGGGGAGTTTAAAACACAAACAATGAGAATTACACATAAACTCTTGGAGTTGTATAGGGAAGGAGTGGATCTAGGACTGGATATCAAGCTTAACCTGTGGACTAAAGATGGAGAAGAATTTTTCTCATTTTCTAGAGTTTCTCGACCCGTCAACAGGAGAAGGAGAAGAAACAGAGGTGTGATGTCAACTCTGAAGGAAGTGAGACTACCCCAGCAAGAAGTGCAGTCTCCCCTGAAGGAAGTGCGGTCCCCTCTGAAGGAAGTGCAGTCACCCCTGAAGGAAGTGTGGTCCCCCCTGAAGGAAGTGCGGTCCCCCCTGAAGGAAGTGCGGTNTCCACGTTCCAGTTCCAAGTTCTAGGTTCTAGGTTTTAGGTTCCAGGTTCCATGTATTATGTTCTACGTTCCAGGTTCCAGGTTCCATGTTTTAGGTTCTAGGTTCCAGGTTCCAGAGTTTAGGTTCCAGATTTCAGTTTCTAGGTTCCAGGTTCCAGGTTCTAGGTTCCAGGTTCCAGGTTCCAGGTTCTAGGTTCCAGGCTCTAGGTTCCAGGCTTTACGTTCTAGGTTTTAGGTTCTTGGTTCCAGATTCCAGGTTGCAAGTTCAGGGTTCCAGGGTCCAGGTTCCAGGTTGTAAGTTCTAGGTTCTATGTTCTAGGTTTTAGGTTCTAGGTTCCAGGTTCCATGTTCCAATTCCAAGTTCTAGGTTCTGGGTTCTAGGTTTTAGGTTCCAGGTTCCATGGTTCTGGGTTCCAGGTTCCAGGTTTTAGGTTCCAGGTTTTAGGTTCCAGATTCCAGGTTCTAGGTTCCAGGTTCCAGGTTCCAGGTTTCAGGTTCTAGGTTCTAGGTTCCACGTTCAGGGTTCCAGGTTTCAGGTTCCTGGTACCTGGAACCTGGTACCCGGTTCTAGGTTAGAGGTTTCATGAGTACCGGGTCCTGGTTTCCAGGTTCCAGGTTCCACATTTACTAAGTTAACGATGGTGCATTGTTGACTACGTTGGAGAGAATTTAAATACGTCCTATGGAAAAATGTATATTTGAAATATGGATACGTACCATAGAAACATAAAAAACTGAAATATTGATTCGATTAATTATAGAAACATAAGAAATTGAAATATGAATACGTCCTGTGGAAATATAAAATCCTGAAATATGGATTCGTCAAATGGAAACATAGAAAAACTGAAATATGAATACGTCCAAACAAAACATAAAAAAAATCTTAACATTCATAAAAAAACTAAAATGCTGATTCGTCCAATAGAAACATAGAAAATCGAAGTATTGAATATTGATCCATCCTAAGAAATCTAAATAATTGTGCAAATATCAGAATTTTTTTCTTGGAAAATTCCGTGCAAATTTTTGCTAATTACTCAAGCTTTAATTAAGCGCTGTATCACAAACAAACAAAACTAAAACTGACATGAAATCAGAAGGCAACATGCCTGAGGAATATTTGTGAACATTGTGAACTAATCTGAATCATTGCCACTTGTTGAACTAAATTGTCTGCAAAAAAAAATTTATTAAACACTCTACTCTCATTTACATATATTATATATTTACATATGCATTGCACGGTGTTACTTCTAAATCCTTAACATTTTACGCACTAGCGTAACAAAGAGAATATTTAATTGACAATTTAATATATTGAATTAAAAATGCTTTCTTCAATTTTATAAGTAAATTCATGCATTTTTGTATAGATATATTTGAAAGCATACACAAGGTGAAACAAAAACGGAATTCAGTTTCTGGTTGATATAAAAATATGAATTATAATATTAAACATATTTAACACCCACAAAGGATGAGAGTTTAATACCGACCTCAAACTCGTTAAATATAGCAATTTAATGGTGAACGTTGTTTTCTATCAATAGTACACTTGCTAGAGATGAAACAGCAATAAATAAGTTTCCAGCTGCAGAAAACCGAACAAATTATAGTCGTCTCTGAAGTCTCATACTTTGTGGGTAACCCTGTAACCCGTACACACAAATACTGAGGCTTAATTAATTTCCATGTTTCTTTTTAGCCTCTCTGCCCCTCCTTTTCTAATCATGATTATACTAACTTTCTCTTCTGTCTGTGTGTAAACAATACATGTACATATATATACAATAAAGTGAATATTCACGGTTTCACACTTGGTTGATTCCCCGGTGCATATTGCTAGTTTCCCCTCATCGCGTAATTTGGTAAATATCGAACAAACTTTTCACAAGGTTTACACACAAACATACATAAACTTCATGTCTACTAGCACTTAAAGGGACTGTAGACGATATATTTTATGTGACAGTTATTTTAAAGAGCACTTTAAACATTTGTATCAAGGATGAACATGAGATATCATTATTTTTCAGCCAGAAAATTGATTATTTTTGATTAAGGTTTCTTCAAAGAAGACTAACGAATTTATGCCTGATAGACAATGATTTAATTACGTTTCAGAAAGAAAACTTTACTTGGAACCTTGTAGCCCTCCTCTCCTCGCGCCATTTTTCTAAATTTAACCCTAATAGCACTAACCATTGCAAAACTTTAACTTTTTAATCCCACCCTTTCTAAAACTTGAACCTTTAAGCCCACCCATTCCCAAACTTAACCCCTTTACGGCTGACCATTTCCAAACTTTAGCTTTTTAAGCCCATCCTTTCCCAAACTTAAACCTTTTAAGCTCAACCATTTACAAACTTGAACTCTTGAAGCCCACCCATTCCTAATCTTGAACCCTTTAAGCCAGCTCATTCCCAAACTTTAACCCTTTAAACTCACCCATTCCCAAACTTTAACCCTTTAAACTCACCCATTCCCAAACTTTAACCCTTTAAACTCACCCATTTCCAAACTTTAATCCTTTATGCACACCCATTTCCAATCTTGAATCTTTTAAGCCAGCCCATTCCCCAACACCCATTTCCAAATTTTAACCCTTCAAACCCACCCATTTCCAAACTTAAAAACTTTAAGCTCTCCCATTTCGAAACTTTAACCCTTTAAGCCCACCCATTTCCAAACTTTAACCCTTTAAGCCCACCCATTTCCAAACTTTAACACTTTAGGCCCACCCATTTCCAAACTTTAACCCTGTAAGCCCACTCATTTCCAAACTTTAAAACTTTAAGCCAGGGCGGAAACGTCATGTGTGTGTGTCTGTACCAAAAGAGTGTGTGTAAGGAATAT